CCCTTCCCTCCCGCCTTACACCAGTCTGAGTGTGAAGTGCGAGTGCTCGTCACACTCCTTGGCCCGCTCTGTTGACAAGGGCCCGTTAGGGTCCTCGACGGCCAGACCATGCTCGTAGAGCGACCGCATGACCCTATCCTCCCGCTGCCGCACCAGCTGACCGTACCTACCCATGTCGACATCCCCGCCGAAGTCCAGGGCTGTGGCGTCCAGGCAGTAGATGCGCTCGATGTCCTTCAACACTGACAGAGGCGGATACATCAGACCAGCACGACACACAGCACCATCCATCCACTCTACGGGAGAAGTGTGTGCTGTATGTGTGCGTGGGTACCCTTGAGCCTTGCTATGGCATAATCCTTAAAGTCCCGCACGGGCATGGTGATGTCGGGGAACTCCCGATACAGGCTGACGAACACTCCCTTCCGCGCAGGAGACGACGCTGACTGGGCAGCGCTGCCAGCAGCTGCAGCAGCCGAGGCCCTCCACCTATCCTGCTGCATCAAAACCGAGTTCTACACAAACCCGCCTCGCTCAGGTCTTAGGGTTCCGAACCCTGTAGAATGCGGCAGACACCATTCATTCGTGCACCCCTCAGCTTCTTAACCCACAGGCTGACCGAGCGAGAGATGGGTTGATGGACCGCTGAACTGATACATGCTTGCTAACACACGTGATACAGAAGGAATGAGTGAGCGCTGTGTAAGACAAGCCGAACAGTGCATGTCTCAGACGCCCAACCACCCGGCACCTGGCGTCTGAGACAGCACTCGGGGGGGGGGAGGAAAGGAGACAGCCAGACAGAGAGGCACACCTACCTGTACACACACAACACGAACACCGAGCGCAAGACAGACGCGTACACGCACCCCCATGACATATACCTGACACACCACCTCCCCTGGCCCGGGGGAGTATGCAAGGTGGGCGGCCCTGCGCCATCAGGGTGAAAACAAACTGGCCTTTTTACGAAACCCAGGGGTAGCCAAGGGAAACCTTCTGTGCCGGACGTCCGCCCTGGTCCCTGCCTCGTTTTTGCAGGGCTGCTATATCGTTTCCATGGATGCATTTTCATGCGTTCATAGGAGACGCGAAATGAATGAGTGAATGAATGAACGCAGGCCTCGACAGCTACACCAACGATTTCGTCAGGGTTCAAGAGGTCAAGCGCATCCTTCATGAAAGGGCACACTTACAGGGTAATTATGAAGGGACATTAAGGGATCAGTGTACAATCAGTCGCATTGTCGATTGTGCGTCTGTCTGTGTCTGTGTGAATGCAGACAGAATCAAATTCCAAATACAGTGGCGCGAGAAGACCGAGGACCTCTGGGTCGACGAGAAGATCAAGAACGTGAGCCTGTCTGCGAGACAGACCAAATGAATGTATATCTGTTTGCCTTCCCTGCCATGGACAGAGAAAACTCCAGGAGGAGATGGAGCAGCTCAAGCAGGAGATGGAGAAGCTGAAGGAGGAGGTACAAACATGAAAAGGCGCCCCTTGGTTGCGGTGTGCATCAATCGGTCGTGTCCTTCCGTTGCCTTCAAACAGGACCGGCAGCTCAAGGAGGCGCCTATTGTGTCGGCTACCGCGCCAGCAGCACCGGCTGAACCGATGCAGGACGGAGCGAAAGGTCAGTCGACACACACACACACACAGACAGACAGACGGACAGGCACACGCAGCACACATAAACCCACATGCATTACCGCTCGTTCCCCCTTTACTCTCTGTGTGTGTTCGTTCAGGTGGCTCGCTGTCAATTTCGAGTGGTGCAGACGATGACGAAGACGCGGCTGAGGGAGTGCCAGACGAGCCCCCCATCACGCTGCCCCCCGCCATGCCGCCAGCTGCTCGGCCACGTCCCACCACTGCTGTTCCTGCCGCTGCACGACCTGTGTCCGTCAGCCCGCCCCCTCCCCTCATCCCCCCTCCCCTCATCGGGGCACCTCCCTGCCACATCCAGTTCTTCCCGCCTCATCCACTGCTTCCGCGGCATATCGTCCCGTCGCAAATGGTTCCGCGGCCGCCGGTCTGGCTGCCACCGCTGCCCCCACCGCAGCCTGCCTGGCTTCCCCTGCCGGCAAGAGAGGCGAGGGCGGGCCGGCGCTCCAAATGCTGTGCCAGATGAGGCGCGCTGGAAGGGGAAGAGGGGCTTGGTGTGTGTGGGTGCTGTTGCGTCGGTCGAGTGTGGGCTGCCGCTGTTTGTGATATTCAGACCGATCGATGGGCGGATGGGATGGGTGGCAGGGCAGGGGAAAGGCTGACGTGTACCTTGTCGATTGGCTGGGCTGGGCTGAGTGGTTAATTTGACTGACTGACCGGGCCGAATCAGTGCAATGCACTGGTGCGATTTGTGCATTCCCATTTTTGGTGTGTAGCTGTGTGTGGCTGCGCTGCATGTGGCTGGAAGGAGCTCTTGACGGCGGCCTTTCTGCCTGTCTGTTTGCCTGCCTTGTCGTCCGTCGTCCGCCCATCTGTCTGTCTGTCTGTCTGGTGGTGGCCAGCCTGAACCTGAGTGCGTGGGGGTGGTTGTCTGAGGTGCAGTGATGAGCAGGCTCAGGTTGAAGGTCAATCAGTGAGTGAGTGAAGGGGAAGGCACAGTGAGAATCGGCTACTTCTGCTTCGGACGATCAACTGCCTTGCCCCCCAGTCAGTTTCTCGGTTTCTCGCTTCGAGGGAATGGGTTGAGCGATGGGGGCCGGCAATGATGATTAGGTCACGGGCAGGTCATCTGTTTTGTTGGGTGAGTGAGGGAGAAGGGGCGGGGAGACAGAGAATGGCACTCCTGCTTTTGGCTTTTGTTAACCTCTCGATTTGGCCCGCACTCAGTCAGTTTCTCGCATCTTTGGCTTTCGGTGGGAATGGGTGGGGGAGGGAGGGGGTGGGTTGAGGGATGAAGGGCTGGGGCATCGTCTTGCGTTTCTTTCCTCGATTGCTCGCTTTTGCAATCATCACACACACACCAAGATGGCACACACGGGCGAAGGTCACACGTTTCGCTTGGTGAGCCGAGGAGGGGACACACATGACGACAGCTGACCAATTCGTGTGTGCGTCTATTCTGGCAGAACAATTGAGTAGCTGTGCTTGTCACTGACATCGATCCCAAGGCGCCTGCGGGTATGCCACACCCAGACAAACACTCAAGGGTTTGTATGTGCTATCCCCTGCTTCCCTCTCTTTCCTTCCTGCAGGGCGTACACAACTATCTCGTCAAGATGCAGCTCAGCTATAGGTCAGAATGCACACATCACGTCAACACAGTGCCACTAGCGGTCGGTGTCATGCCCTCCCTCCGCGTCTGCATGGTTTGCCAGGCTGCACAGGCGGCTGTTCGATCGAGTGATTCATCGCCTTGCGGTCACCACACCCACCTTACCCGAAGACCCAGAAGACCTCCAAACAAACCGCCGGGCGCATCCACACCCTTGACGCCCCCGGCCGCCCCATCCCGCGTCGGGCACTCTTCGTCAGCCGCTGACCCATCGACGATGGCACTGAGTGATTCGGCTCCCATGTGTGCGCCATCAAGCGGAGGGAGACCTTCTGCGAGGCGGCAAAGGACGACATCGAGTCCCAGCCACCAGCGTCACCAGCCGACGACTATCAGCTGATCTCCTTCACATCGAGTGCCACAGCCTCTCATCTCTCTCTATGGCTCACCATTGCGGCCTTAAGCAGTCGGGCGCCAACTCGTTCGCAAAGCGCAAGGTCATCGCCGTCCGCGGCGCTCTGCGGCTACACGCGCCGTCCCATTAGTTTGACGACCAAGTCCTTGCGTCGCCTTGTGGGCATTGCCAAAGACGGTGGCGCAGAACAGGGCTCACATCGACCGCTTCCTGGCGACCCTTCGGGGGGTAGTGGGGGAGAGGGGGCTCGTCGGTGAGGCTGAAGAGAGGCGGCCGCATGATGGTGGGAAGAGGAAAGAGGGGATGGATCTGCCACCCTTGACCTTGACGCACATCGGCCAACAGGTGACGGAAGGCACAAAGAGAGAGAGACGACACACTTCCATCTGCAGGCACTGCTTGCTATCCTCACGCAGGGGCTGGATGATGCCTCCCATTTGCAGCTGTATCGTGTGACTGTCGCCTTCGCCGATCCCTCAAGGCCTGTGTGTGTTTGGTCCAAGGCAGTTGGCAAGGTCGAGGGGTCTGCTGATGTATGACGCGAGGAAAGGCACATTGGAGAAGCGCCACGGCAGCTGAAAACAATGCAGGTCGGCAGAGGAGGAAGGCAGAGGACCAAGGAAGAGCCAGCTTAGCCCACTTATTTGTTGTGTCTCTTTCAGGTCCGTGTGCCCGGGTGCATGTGACGCTAGTTCCCTGCCCGCCCCATGGGCTTCTCCTGTCGGCGGACGAACCTCCCCTTCCGCTCCTCTCAATGACCTGTGGCTGCTCGACACCCGGACGCCCACATGGACACAAATCGCAGCTCCAGCCTTCACAAACGGTCGACCCACCATGCTTCACAAACGGTCGACCGAGTGGTCATCGTCTGGCGGCCACCACGCCCCCGGCTCGAGACCGACACGTCATGTGTCAGGTCGGCAGCTACAGCAGCGGCCAGAACGAGGATTTCCTGAGTGGAGGAGTTGGAAGCGGCGGGCGGGTGCCGGGCGACGTGTGGCGGCTAAGGGTGGACGGGACCGAGGCAGCATGGGAGGAGATGGCCACGTCTGATGATGATTGTGGCCGCCCGGGCGCTGTCCATGCCCATACATCGGCCTTCGATGAGCCCACCGATCGCGTCAGGTTCTTTGGGGGTACATATTGGTGGGTATCAGTCCATCCGGCGATGCCGCCTTTCCATCTCTCCCACTACATACCTTACCGGCCCTCTACCTCGCTATGCACACGTGGGCGCATACGCCGACAGAGGCAGGTGCCGAACAGGGCACGGCCAGCTTCTCGTGTGGTCGGTTCAGCCACTGCTTGACGGCGACGAGAAGTGGCGATGTGATTTGACGGGTGGGTGCGGTGGACACTCCATTCTCAATTACCTGCGGCTCTGCAAGGTGCAGTGCGCGGAGCATTGTGGCTGTGCTGCGACACTCTGGTACGGATGGGCGAGGCGAGGGCAACTCAAAACAACACCGTTCACTCACTGCATGGTTCTTACCCTTGCCTGTCGTGTGTTGTGTCTGTCGTGTGTTGCGTGGTCAGGACCCGTCGGTGCGCATCGCTGCATTGTGGTGTGCGTCTGGTTGGCCAATGCCCTCCCACTGCAGCAGCACAGCTGACATGCAAATTCAGGTCAGCACACTTCACCGACACACGCGGATGCATTCATCCTACATTCATGTGTGTGTGTCCATCTGCCTGTCTCTTCAGGGGCACCCACACTTGTGCCGCCCACCGCCGACGGCTGCTCAGCTGTTGCGACACCGGCCCGCCACTCCTGGCCCCCCCATGTGCCTCACAAGGAGGGCCACAAGTCTTCACGAGCCTCACACGCCGACAACAGAGGAAGAGGTGACAGCCACGCACCACAGCGGAGGCCTTCGAGCTCGTCGAGCGCACCAAGCTGCCCGACTCTGCGCGTGCAGACCCTCAACCTGCTGGATCTGCGCTTGCTGAGGGTCATTCTATTTGCCTTCTACGAGACATTCACCGCATTTGATAGCGGGATGACGGGCGTGTGTCTGTCCGCTCTATCGGCCGCATCCAACCGACACCCGGTGCATCCCACAGCACAAGCAGCCCCCCTCCATGAGAGGGAAGTAGACGATGGATGGCTGGAAAGGCCTGCGGGTCGACCAGCCGATGTCAGCAAGAGCGATGAGCGACGGCATGATCTTGGGTGGAAGCGACGAGGGGCATGCCAAGATGGGCAACATGTGGCTGGCGAATAGTGCGCTCTGGTACGTAGGGGTGGGCGAGGAATGGACAACTCCAAGTAACACCGTGCCTTCCATGTCATGCGTTGTGTCGGCCATGTGTTGCGTGTTCAGGAAGGGTCGGAGCGCAGTCCTTCACCGTGGTGAGAATGTGGGTGGCCAATGCGCCATCATGCTGCAACGCACCTTCAGGTCAGCATAGCACACCGACACACGCGGACGCATCCATCCCACCTGTGTGTGTGTGTTGCATTTGTCCCTCTCCCTCCCTCTCCAGGTAACCCCCACACCTTTGACGGCCCCCGCCGCCCCCTCCCATCTACTTTCTGTGGCGCGACGTCGGCCTGTCAGTCCTGTCCCCCTACATGCCCCACAA